GTGGCTCGCTGCACTGCATCCCCAAAGCCCTGCCTGGATCTGCCAAAGCAGCGCTCCTCCTCCCCGTGCTCCCCCGCTGCCGCTCCCGCCTGATTTGCCTGAGAAGAGCGCTGTGCTCCTACAGGTCATAGCAGGTGCTGGAGGGATGGTCTGGATTGCTGCACACCTGCCTGCTGCTGTCCCGCTCTGTCTCCGCTGTGCCAAGGGGCAGGCCGTGGGGTTGGTGCCTCCTGGGGAGGCCCATCAGACACTAGAGGGGCTCGTGGACACCATTGAGAGCATCCAGACCACCCTCCAGAGTCCTGCTGTGGGATAACCTTGGTTCTCCCACCCTTCAGCAGCTGAGCCCCAGCGCAAGGCGGCTTGGGCACTGGTGGTGGTTTTCTTTCCTGGTGTCCAGTGCTGCAGACCCTGCTGAGGGATCGCGCATTCCTTAAGCTGGTCTTTCTCCTCTGGACGTGTCTGGAGGGAGGGGTTGAGGCGAGCCTGGAGAGCAGCCCTTCTGTGGCTGCTGGTATGAGGCTGCAGTAAAACATTATGAGTGTTAAACGGGGCCAGCCTGCGCCGTAAAGCTGTCACTGCTAATGGAGATCATCTCCACTTTGAGTAGCGTAACTCCTTTACTCGCCGTGGCTGGAAGAGCTGGGGTTGAACAGAGCAGATGGTAATATACAGCATGGCAAAGCTAGAAAACTCACTTGCTGAGCAAAATACCCTCAGCCTTTTCCCACATTTCCAGCTGGACCCCTCCAAGCAGTTTGTGCCTGAGAGAGCATGTGATTCCTCCGCCCCCACATAGCAGCCAGGACAAAGCGCTTGGTAGAAGGGCAAAAGAGCATGATACATCATAAATATTAGTGCCTGGCCCCTTGCCAGTCCCAGACAGAGAAATCATCTTGGCCATTAATCTGTCTGTGCAAGCTGCATCTGGCGAAGTGGTGCTTAATGTCACCCATGCTCATTTTTGTCTCAGTATTGCAGTTCATGCTTGCTCAAAAAGAAAAAGGAAAAGTACTAAAGTACTTTGCGCTCTCTGGGTCTGATTTATTAGTGAGTTTTTCCTGGGATGCTTTGCCAGCACAGCATGGGACCAGTGCACACAGGGGACAACCAAACACAGGGACTCCCTAAATGAAGGGCAGGATGGAGAACCCAGCGTGTTCATATGAAGAAATCGTGCATATCCATGCTGGGCTTGTTGTGGTGCTGGCATCACCACCCAGCACTGCAGCTGCACTTGTGCTCTGCTCCCCACTGCAGCCAAGGCTTTCGGGGGTGGCCGACTGCTGCTGGTGGACAGCATCCTCCAGGTTGCACAGGGACCCTCTGGAGCCAGAGCCTGCTGGGGTGCTGGGGCAGGCAGGGCTGGGACTGGAGGTTCCCCCAAGCTCAGCTTTCATTCTGCGCTGTGATTAATTGCAGTTAGCGCTCATCTGTAATTTTAGAGAACAATCGGATGACGTGCCTCGCGGTTGATTTAATTGAAACCTGATGAGGCATCAGAAGGCTGCTGTGCACCAGGCTGAGCCGTGCTGCATCCTCCTGGGAACCCCATCCCCTCTCCCCATCCTTGGCAGTGACTTGGAGGGCTCAGGCTCGCCCCCGCAGCTTCTCTTGGGCTGAGCTTGTGCTGTAGGTCCAGGGACTCCGCACCTTGGAGTTTTATGACCAGTCTGGATATTCTCAGGTGCAATAGTGTTAAGGATTTGGCGTTTTACACTGCTGTGGTCTGGGCCACGGGGGAGGTTTGGCGTGTTTGGGATACGTGTCTCATTCCCTGTTGCAAAATCCTTTGCTCTGCCTATTCATCTGCTTGAGTTGTGCTAGTGATTTCTAAGGCAGTTAGGAAGGCTGAGGGAAATTGCTTTCAGGTCAAGACCTGCTTTTGCCTGTAGTGAATTACTACGCCTGGGTTTTAAATCTTTGCAAACAGAGGATTATGGTGGTGGTAAATACTAGGTAGGCCTGGGGATTGCCGTGCTGCTGGCTGGAGGGAGTGCGGCCTTTCCCTTTAGCAGATAGAGAGTGGTGGATGTTAAAAAAAATAAATTGAGATACAGCCTGGGTTATAGCTTAGGTACTACTTCTCCTTGCTTTATATTTCTACTTGAATGCTTTGCAGGGTAAGCAGTCTATTTCTTGCTTAACCTCACGGGGCTTTTTCCTTCTTAAGCGAGGAACAGCGTGGTAGATATGACCAATTGCCAAGAGCCCCAGATTAGTGCAGGATCTGCAAAAAATTCAGAGCCGCTGTACAGCCCGACATCTGCTTGAAACACAAGCACCAAGTGACAAATGCATTTGAAATGGCAAAGCTGCATTACCATGCTGGAGGATAGCTGCCCGTGCCTGGCTGCGCACAGCATCTTTGGGTCTCTAGTCCCGACAGTGGCTTTGGGGACTGAAAACAGAGTGGAGCAGTGTGGGGGTAGCCAACAGCCTGTTGTCAGCACAGCAGGGCGAGGGGGGTGAGGAACCATGGTGGTGTGAAGGCTGGAGCGTGGGCAGCGCCCCAGGACCACCAGCCTGATGGGAAGCCCTGCCTGTAGCCATGAGGGATGCAGGCAGCAGAGGGTGAGGGCAGGCTGGGCTTGTCCTCCTGCCTGCAAGCACTGGGCAGGAGGAAGGATGAAGGCCTCGTTTGCTGATTGCTGTGAAAGTGGTGATGACTCGCACCTCTAGCCTGCAGGAAGCTGTAACAGCACCTATGCATGATGAGTGGGGGCCAAAACAGGTTGACACAGTCTTTATAATCCAATTAGTGCCGAGTGCTAAGCAACCTGGCCAATTTGCTCTTGGCTTTTACAACACACATAAATAGTGTTGGCATTACGTAATGCCGTGGGGAAGGGCTCTGCTCTGCTTGCAGTCCCCAAGTAGGGCTGAGCTTGAGTGGCCAGAAGATGACCATGGCTTTGTCCCATAGTTCAATCACTCACAGCGTTTGCTGCATTCCAGTTGGCCTGCTGCGATCTGTACCACATCCCCAGGTCCACCCGGGACAAGCAGTTTTGAGAAGGCATGTCTCCTGCACCCTCTCCCAAGCAACATCTCCATCAGTTGGTCTTGTGTACTGCAGAGGAGGCTACGACAAATGCAGGCAGGGGCCTGACTCTGTGAACAAGCTCAGGCCTGGCCTTCATAATGTTGTCCTCCAGACCCTCCTCACTCTTGACTTTCCCACTGCAAGTGGAATATGCTTCTATGCACATCCCTCCTTGTCTCTGACAGAATAGCACTGGCAATAATCAAGTTTTCTAGGCTGCCGCAGACTGTCAGCAGTGTGTGCAGGCAGGGGCTGTAATCCCTGCCCTCAGGGAAGCCCATGTGTCAGGCCACTGTCAGCTAATGAGCTTGTGCAAGTGTTGCTGAGGGTGTCGTGTAGCTGACTGAATTATTGATGTTGTCTGTGATGGGAATTGCTCTGATGCTTTGAGGGATGCTGTGGGAGATGGAGCTGGGAAACACTCGTGGCAATGGTAGCTTTTCCCAGAAGTAGGTAGCAGAAGGTGTGGCTGCTCCTGAAGAAGCACTTCCAGAAAGGGAGAGTCTGGGTTGAAGCTGCCTCTTGCTTTTGTATGGAAGGAAGGAGGAAGCGGATAGAAGCAGGAGGTCACCAGAAATTATTTGTGAAATAAATCGTGCCTAAAATGTGCAGTGGTAAATGCTGTCATGATGGTTGACGGTTGGTAGCTTTATGTAGAGGTTGCAGCTGGATTGCATTTGCCCTGAATTGGCTGAGCCTTGCCCATGGGGCTGATTGCACCAAATCCTCATTGGGTGGAATTCATCAAATAGCTGTTGGTAATGATCAGTTACAATTTTGTCTTGTATAGCTTACTTTTCCTCTTTGTGCTTTCAGAAATAACACAGATCATCCAGGTAGACTTGGATCTGAAATACAAGACCAACATCCGAGACCTGTTTGATGAGTTCAACAACTTCCCAGAAGGAGCAGTCATTGGGATTGCCAGGGAAATGCAGCCAGTGTACAGGTACAGCCCCCTCCCTATGGGGAGCAGGGAGTGGGCAGCGGGTGGCTGGCATCTTCTCTTCAACTCAGGTTGGTTTTTGGAAGAAAATCTAGGGGGAGGCAGTCTCCCTGATTTAATCCCTGCAGGGGGACTTAGTCTGAAGCTTACAGGTCGGTATGAATGAAGTGTACAGTGTCACTGTGGTTTCCTTGTTCTCACGCACCATCACAAGGCTTCCAGAGCCAAGTTCCTGGTCATCAGTGCCGAAATCCATACCGAGATTATAGCTAGAGGTGTATTTGCCCAGCCATGCCTGCCGATGTGCTGTGATTGCATTCTGGAGCACCAGTTTGTATGTTGGGGCTCAGAGGTTTTGGCTGTGAATATTGCGGAGAGTAGGGGTTGAGTTTGGGCAACAGTGAGGTTCTGGGTCCCTGAAGTGTCAGTGCACCTTCTGCTAAAGAAATATTCCGCCAGGGAAGACTGAGTGGGCAAGTGTGTTGGTGACCTGGACTTGCAAGCCTGAGGATAGCACCATGGTCACTTGCTGTCTAGACCCTTGGTCAACCAGACAGTGCCAACTGTGGTGGCAGCTAGCAGCTGGAGCCGTGCACCAAGGGGTGAGCCAGCTCTTCCCACTCATGGGCCACTGGTGGGTTTCAGGGACACAGGTATTTCCAGGATGGTGCTTAAAGAAATTGGTTTAGTTTAGCCTGCATTGTTCCAAGGATGAACCTCAGGTTTTGTTTTAATCCAGGGTGAATCAGGATGCCTTAATGGCTTCTCAGCCGAGCAGAGTTTGAGTGCCTAGGTGGCTTGGCTAGGTTTGCTAATCCTAATGGAAATGTTCTTGGAGAAAGATAAAGAGGCTTAAGAGCTCTGTATGTCTTTTCCTTCCCTTCTGGAAACCTTAGTAGTGATATCGATAACTGAACGTCCTAAGACATGTCCAGCAGCACTCTTGGGCAAAGGCTGACCCGCAAAGATCTGGAGCAGCCATTCTGCTGCATGTTCATCAGGATGGGATGAGAGTAGAGACAGACAGAAGTTCAGCACCAGGGGACTGATGGTCATGAATCACCACGGATCATTTCCTAGTAGCCCAAGTCAGCTGAGAGCATGCTCACGAGAGCATTTCTGGTTGCTCAAACTGCAGAAGTCAGCACTGTTCCTGGGCTCGAAAAAGACATCTCCGTGCCCATGGCAGAAATGTCACCTCCCCTCCTGGCTTCTGCTCTTGGCGGGAAGAGCTGAGATGAGAGGAACGTGGATGCTGAAGTCTCATCTCCATAGGGCAGCACCGTGCTTGGAGCGTGGAGGGCTCCTATATCCGCTTTGGGTATCCTGGCAGGATTTTGGTGCCCAGAATGGTAAATCCAGCCCTAGTTAATCGTATCCAATTGTTAGAGCTTAAAGTGGGATGGAGAGAGCAGTGACAGCCGAGCATGGCCGTGGGGCTGTGTCGAACAGTCAGCCTCAGTCAGCGCTGCCCAGCAGGGCAGATCCCGTTCGTTAGTGGTGCAGCCTGTAACAGGATAAATTGAGCGTTTGTTTGCCTGCAATTAGTCCATGGTGGAATCGCTCCATGTTTCTGTCTCTGCAGGGATTGGTTTTGCATGATTTCCACACATAGCTAGGGAGCAGGGATGGTGTTCTGTTGCCTGGATGTGGTTTGTGGGACCGGGCATGCCTGGAGTGGACTGAGTTAAGCTTTGGGGTGCTCTGCTGGAGGGAGAGATCTCTGGCATGGCAGAGGACAAGGCACGGGACCGTGGAGCTGAGCACTGAGTACCTGACCCAAGCCAAAGCCGTGCTCTCCACCTCCTGCCACCTGCAGTGGGGACAAACAAGCCAAGCAATAACAGCCCTCACAGGCTGCATTTTTGGGCTGAACTTTCTGTTGTTGCAGTTTTGACATTCTGGGTCACTTTGGGCTATGTTGTGCTTTTCTTCTTGTGCTGTTTTGATCTTCATGTGAAAATAAGTTCCTGATCCTTCTTGTTGCCAGATCACCCGGTGTGGGGCGAGCTGTGCAAACGCCAGCCTGCCCTCCCGCCGAGCCCTCCGCCCCGCGGGGCTCGCACCTCGCTGCTAAAAGGGTTTCCAGACGAAAACATGAGCTGACAAAGCATGAGTGTCTTTGTAAAAAAAAAAAAATCTTTGCTATTTTTATACTTTTAGCAAGATAAAAACACGTTGTAGGTGTGAAATAAGAGGTGCCAGCTCCAGCCATGTGATTTGCCACATGCGCAGGCTTGAAGCATCGATTGGGAAAGTGGTTGTGGGGGTGGAGAGTTACGGGGCAATGGCAGGGTCTCTTCATTGCCACTTGCATTTTCCTCCCCACTTCACGCAGCTCTCTGTGGCACCAACTTTGCCCCAATGTGGGGCAAAATGTCAGAGAGCTTGGTAAGAGTCAGCAGAGCATTCCTGAGCTTGCTCATGGAGCTGTGGACTTGGCACCCTCTGGGCAGGGTGAGCCGGTGGCTGGGAAGCATCTGGATGCCATGTTCCCCTCTCTGTAGCAATGGGGATCCATCCACTTGGCTGTGTTGGATCCTTGTTACCTATTTGGCCCGTCAGAGGAGGTAAATGGGTGCAGACCAGCGTGTTTTGTAGATGACGCACCGTTTTCTGGGAGGCAGTGCTGTTCCCACCAGCTGCCCGGTGGCTGGCTGACTGTAGGCTGCACTTACCAGGCACAGGCTGGGACTGCACAAGGCTCGGGCTGCGGCACTGGTGCACTGAGCAGAGCTGGGCACAGACGCTCACGGGAAACGGAGGAGTAAGAGAACAGCAAATAGGAAACGTCCCAGAGCCTGCTTGCACATCCTGAAGGTAGGGGGAAACCTCCAGACAGCAAAACAGGATGGCACGGGAGCGTTTCCACTCATTTGACTCATGCTGAAACAATGCCTGGCCGCTGTTTGTCTTGGATAAATGCATTTTTCTGAGCAACAGGATCTCCTGGCCCTCCTGCAAGGCAAACGCTGGGGTTTAACTGTTGCACAGCCTGGGGCTGGCCTGTCCTTTGGGGTCACTGAGGGTGGGCTGGAGTGGCCTACAGAGAGCGGTAGCTGCTGCAGAAGCTGTACATGGATTGCCCTGCAGATCCACCTCCTTGCCGTGCACTGCAGGGTGGTGTCTGGCAGGGGGTCCTGGGTCAACACCTCTGTGGATGGGGTCACAGGCAGAGCTTTGTCCCACAAGGGGCTGCCCCCGCTGCCAGGGTTGTTGGGGACACTCAGTGCTATGCACTAGGTTCTTAGATGCTTGTGGGCTTTCCATGGGAGCACTGGATGCCTCCTGCCAGCTTGACGTTTGCATGCTGGACTGCGGGCAGGGCCTCTTCCCAGTGCTGACATATGCCCGCTCATGTGTCTGCACAAGATCCGCACCATGGCCAAGACTGGGAGCTCCTGCTTCAGCAAGAGTGATTTTGATAGAAAGATTAAAATCTGCATCTGAAGTTTGCCTTGTCCAAAAGGCTTTCCATGCAAGGAAGTGCTTCTGCGGAGTCATAACATTAATTAAAAATCCTGTTGTCCCCTGCAGCATTTCAGCTACTTGGACATGCTGGCAGTGTCCTGTTCACCAGGCTACAGAGGGCAAGCGATGATGCTCTGTATAAATATTTATGTCACACTGGGGCTTCTATGCCAGATCCTGGGGGAACCTGAGAAGTCCAAGCCCTCCTATGCTCTTGACCTGCTAAGAAAGGTGCAGGCACACGTTGCAGATACGGCCTGCAAGCCAGCTACCAGGCGGGCCGGCAAAGTCACCATGCCTGGCCTGAGGAACGGCATAGCCGCAGTTCTGGCTGTGATGGGGCTGACTGGTAGCCCAGTGAAGCATAGCTTGCTGCAGGGCAGCCTCCAGACCGGGCATGAGCATCTGGGGCTGTGCCTGGGGCACAGCAAGGGCATCTGCATGCGGATGCTGCTGCAGCCTAGACCTCCCCAGGGACCTCTGTGCCAGGCTAAGCTCAGCCCTGCCAGGTGCCTCCTCATTTTGAAGAAGTCCCATGGCCGAGATGAACAGAGTGGGGAAACACTGTCGCGCTCCCAAAAATGTCCTGAAAACTCTCCAATTACAGAGAGCAGAGCTGAAACCCTGTTCTTACTGAGTTTCCTGGTTGTAGATCCCTCCAGTCACACTGGGGGTGTGCAGGAGGAAGCAGGACAGCCATGTTGATTGCACAGCTGCTGTCGGCAGCCTCAGGCTGACCCCGGACTGGTGCGCTGCACCGTGTTCCCCAGTCCCATCCCCATGGCCATCCCGGCCTCTTCGCTTTCCACATGGTGCCGGTGCTGTTACTGGCACTGCCACATGGTGGTGGGTTCTGGGTGCCCGCCAGTGCCAGCACCACAAGGGGCCCTGAGAGCTGCCCCTGCGTTGCTCACCTTGGAGGTCTCATTGGGGAGGATCTAACCCACAGGTCCTCAGATGGGTGCTTTTACCCCCTTTCTCCAGCTGGGAGCAAGGTACCTGCTGTGATGGTGGACCTCAGGAGAGGTCCCAGACCTTCTCAGGTCCAAGGAACTGGGGGCTGGAAGGGTATCTGCTGGCTCCATTCCTGACATTGGATGAGATCTTCACGGCTGTCCCCTGTGACAAGAAGCTAATAAAAGCTGGAGGTATCTTGGGAATCCACAGTGGTGGAAATGGTCAAAATCTGTCCTGCAGGAAGGGATATCTGCATCAAAGGGACAGCTACAAAGGACCAGCACTTGAGGCCTTGCGTGGCTGCAAGGCTGTTCGCCTTTGCTTTTGCCTAAAACCTAGGAAGAGCTCAAACAGGACGTTATTTTGTGGAAAGGAAAAACTTTGTTTCTGCTTGTGATTGTTTGGGAGCTGCTATAGATGTGCTGTGTACTCTTGTCACGTGTTTTGTTTGTTTGAGAGCTAGTAAAATAACACTGAGAAGCCCATTAATGAGTGGAAGCAAGCCTGTGCAACCTCTGGACACAGGGGTGCAGCACTTGCAGTGCTCCATGTTTGCTGGGAGCTCAGCAGCAGCG